TAGAGGTTACGAAAGGGAAACGGTCGCAGACCGTTGACCTCGCAAGTCAACAGTCAGAATTGCAAGAGTCAAGTCAGCGCGACAGCAAGGAAAAATAACCGTCCCGATATTACAATACGGGTGGTTACCCAAGTCGCTCTTATCAAGTTGTAAAAAGAATGTACCCCAAGAAGTGCATAATTAGTTAGACTCTTTATATTCTCATGTACTATTATATAAACCTTGTATCCCTTTGCTATAACCAATCACTTGTTCTCACACACCAGTACAAGGGTTCAACTCAAGACTTCTGCTGTGCTATCAAACACTCTGTTACAAGGACTTAGCCTTCTAAAAAGATCCTAGGGCTTTTCTCAACCCAACATCGTATCAGAGCTGTTAGAAGCAATGCTCCTGTTACAAACTCCCTCCGTGAGTTTCTAACTCAATTATATAGATTCACCCGCAACAACTTCAGTTACACCAGACAATGTTACAAGACTTGGCGCCATCTAAGGCCGATGGATCCTCTACTGGACCCCCCTCTGTACCGCCAGTCTCTGGACCTATAGACTGAGGCAGTCGCAATTGCAGGAGCCTCCACGCAACCAGTGGCCTCCTCCTCGGGCATGGACCCAAACCTCATGGAGAAATTCTTATCCTTCATGTCGTCCTATAAGGAGTCTTCAGCGCCTGCTCAATCAGCGCAGAGCAAGAATAGTGGAGCAATCCCAATGAGCCTTGACGGCACACTGTACGCAAGAGGCGCACAACCTACACAGCATCAACCTTACCAGCCCTCGTTGGGCTCGTTTACTTTCCTATCGACTCCCGCACCGGCAGTGGACTCGGCGACAGCTGACAAACAATCAAACATCATCACCGTGCAGCAACAGTTCAACATTCTAAAACTGCAGACATCCTAACCATTCAACGGCAAGGACTTCTTCGCCTGGAGCTTCGAATTCGAACTGCTGATGGACGGCACGCAAATCCTCGGGTTCTTCACTGGCTCCTGGCCTTTTCCTATAAACGAGACTACTTCAGAGAAAAATATTTACACTTATCAGTCGGTGATGGCCCTCACCATCCTCTTGCACAACCTGACATCAACTGAGCAACAAAGCATTCGCTCGTATCTTCGGCAATTCGGCTGAGGTCGTATACTGTCATCTAAAAAGCATCTACCAAGCCTCTGACAGTGTGACTCAGAATTGACTAATGGCGCAACTCACGACAATTCAAATGCAAGCAGGAGAAAAGGCGATGCCATACATCAATCGTTGCAGGGGATTACGCGACAATCTCCTACGAAGCGGTGGGCACTTAAAGGAAGATGCGTTCGTTACAGTGGTCCTTGCTGGACTCGGTCCTCAGTGGCGTACGACACGCTCTCTTCTACGCGCTCACGGATGGATCTCAGAAATGCACTTGTGCGCAGAGCTCCACGCCGAGCAGCAAGACTTGGACCTATACGAAGAACGCCACGCTAAGAAACCATTCAGCAACTTGCACTCTATGCACATGGGCACAACTACAACAATAAAAACCAGAAACGCAACTCACCTCCGTACTGTCATCGCTGCCGCACCACGGGCCACTCACGCTTCAATTGCCCAAGGCAGCAGCTGCAGCAACAGCAACAACAACCGCAGTTCCTGCAGTATCGGCCTCGAGCGCTGTTGGTGCAACCCTATGGCTTGCACTCGGCTTGTCGTCCTTGTTTGTGTGTGTGCATGCATGGCATGGAATGAATTGTGAGTCTATGTCATTGCTATCCAGTGCTTGTCTGTGTGTTTGAATGGTGTATCACAATGTGGTTTGTGTCGGTCAAGATATTAGCGAGTTTTCACAACTCGCATGTCAAGTCGTCGTTTGTGTGTCGCATGTGTTTTTTCTATTTTGTCGAGTGTGAAGTGTCCATCGTGTCCCAGGTGTGTGCAGCAAGCCCCCATCAACTCAAGAATAATTTATCTTGCAGATCCAGGAACAAGAGCTCAAGACTTCAAGCCCAAGGGACGCGGATAAATATTAAATAGTGAAAATAGTAACGTTACTTCGTGTAGTGTTACATTTCACTTGGTGTAGCCCCTTGGAGGGTTGGTTTCGAGACTCTTCATGGTTGGGGACTCTGTGGTGGTGTACCACCAACCTGGACCTCGGCTCTTGGGGTATGTAGAGGCTGGGAACCATCTCCCTCTCGAACTCTTCTTGCTAAGTTTGTACTCCTAAGACTATAGTGGCTGCTATACCTTCTGCCAGTCAAACCGCCATAGCGTCGTCAAATCTTCATGGAATTTCATGATTCAACTTGCTGCTGATAGACGACAGCAACGCGCTCCACATCCAATTTACAGATCACCGTTTTCTTCAGTGACCAGATCGTTATCAATATTTGAAGCCGTCTGACGGAAATCCGACTGTGCTCTCTATCTCTCATTATAGGCACATCTAAGCCTATTGTGATTATAACAAGTGGTATCAGAGCCCCTTGGAGCCTTCTCGACCATGCCTAGACCTGAGGAAGGGGGTGGCAGAGGTGCTGGAGGCAGAGAAGACGCCCAAGCACAAGGTTAACACCAAGATCCACCCATTGCTCCCGTGCAACCTAGCCTTGGACCCTCTAGGGATGAGCCTAGAGTGTTTGGCCTTGACAAGCTCAACGGTGACAACTTTGCTGAGTGGTCCTTCAAGATGGAGAACATCTTTGACCATTACGATCTGCTGGAGGTGATGGAAGGAACGGAGAAGCGCCCCGAGAACGACCCGGAGAAGAGCCCGTGGGTGCGGAAGAGCGCACAAGGCTACCTTCTACTTGGGCAAGCGTTGGGGAGCAGCCAAATCCGTCACATCAAGCCTTTTCAGCGTGAACCAGCAAAGGGACCAAAGGCATGGGCTTCTCTCAAGGGTGTACACGCTCCTGCAACAGCGGCGGTGGCTGTGGTTTTGGAGCGGCAAATGGCGGCACTTCGAATTGACGAAGGCGAACCGGTGGAGGAAGGAGTGCAGAAATTCTTCGACTTGTTGACACGGTTCGAAGGAGCTGATCTGAACTACAGTGACCTTCAAAAGAAGACCAAGCTGCTGGCCTTACTTCCAGACTCATGGTCCTTGCTCATCATCAACCTAAATCGAGATCTGCCCCGTCTCTCACTCGAAGATGTGAAGCGGGAAATCTTACAAGAAGATTTCCGCCGTCGCGGATTGGCGGGTCCCGATGGTGCCGGAGTTGCAAGCATGGGCCGTGGGCACGGCCGTGGAAGGGGCAGAGGGCGAGGAGGCAGATTTGGTAGCAGAAACTTCAATGGAGGTCGTGGTAATAGAGGATATGGCAGCAACAACAATGGCTACGGGCGTGGGCGCGGTCGATTTGAAGGCGAATGCCACTTTTGCCACAAGACCGGCCACATGTGGAGAGATTGCTTCAAACTACCTGATGGCTGGACCCCTTCTCAAGGCCAAGAGGGCAGAGGAGCAAGGGAAGGAAGAGGCAGAGGTCGTGGAGGCCGTGGTGGCCGTGGAGGCGAAGCGGCAAGCATGAAAGGTGGAGACTACGACAAGGACTCGAGTGAAGATCGATACCCGGGCCAATTCTTCTTTGTCTCCACGCAAGCGGCAGCTGCAGCAGGAGGTGTGGAAGGCTTTGAGGAGCCAGCTACTGTGGGAAAGGTCACCCTTCACTCACTGGACTTTTGGGTGATCGATAGCGGCGCCACCTATAGCATGACACCTCGTGCGGACTTGCTCACCGAACTCGAACCGTCGCCGGTCAAGCATGTTACATCGGCTTTGGGGCAGCGAGCAGAGGTGAAAGGCATGGGCAAGGCCATGTTCAAGGGTGCTGATGGGAAGATGGTGGGCCTCAAGAACGTGCTTTGGGTGCCCAACCTTGCAGCCAACCTGATCTCTGTTCGGCGTTTGGAAAAGGCCGGCATGGACACATCTTCCAAGGGCTTTGAAACATATACCGCGAGGCTTGGTGAGCGGAAGCTTTGGGAACTTCATGAGGACAGGGACATCTACAATGAGATGTGGCAAATCCCAGTGGTCCCCATGCCTAAGGGGAGGCAAGTGGCAGCAAGCGTCAGCACCAAGAGTGAAGCGGTTGGTGGCGGTGATCACGGAAACAAAGTGACACCAAGAGTGACTCGAAGGAGTGCAACCTTGGAGAGACCAGCAAGGCGTGTGAACCCAAGGAGAGTGGTGCAGCAGCCAAAGGTGGTGGAAATGAGGAGCAGAAGCCTAAGATCAGCAAAGCAGTAGCGGCGAAGGAGAAAGGAGAGAGCTTGTGGGGCACGATTGCGAGTGCCGCTTTCTCCAACCCGACTTCCGCTACGGGAGAGTGTGATTGGCTGACCTTGCATCGGCGAATGGGGCATGTGGCATTGCCCATTTTGCAGCAGATAGTTAAGCGAGATGGTCAGTGGGATACGTGTCAAGGGGGAGCCCAATGAGGTGCTTGGCTGTCCAACATGCATGCAAGCCAAGTTCACCCGCTACCCGTTCCATAGCTCAGAGACAACGGCGAAGGCACCACTTGATGAGGTGGTGATGGATGTGGTGGGCCCCTTGAAGCTTGGAGCTGCTGGAGCAGAGTACTTCCTCACCATTGTGGACGTCTACACTCGCATGACTTGGGTGTATGTGCTGCCCAAGAAGAGTGACGTAGCTGAAACGGTGAAGACCGATTGGTTGCCGATGGTGGAGCGGCAACAAGACCGACTTGTGAAGGCGATTCGCACTGACCGTGGGGGAGAGTTCCTGAGCAAGGATTTCTCAACTTGGCTGAAGAAGCAGGGCATAAGGCACTCTCGTACCATGCCCTACTCTCCTGCAATGAACGGCATCGCCGAGCGTGCGAATCGGACACTCACGGAGACGGCTCGGGGACTTCTCATTGAAGCGGGTCTTCCCAATTACTTTTGGCCGGATGCGGTGCGGCATGCTTGTGTGGCCAAGAACAGAGCCTTGTCTCATGAGGGAGAAGACAAATGGGTGCCCTATGTGGAGTGGATTGGAAGGAAGCCGAAGGTGGATATGCTTCGGGTGTTCGGGTGCATGTGCATGGCACTTGTGCCTAAGAAACTTCGGCACAACAAGCTTGATGCCAAGGCAACATGGGCTGTGCACCTGGGCATGGCTCAAAACAGCAAGGGATGGCTTCTTTGGGACCCATTTACCAAGAAGTTCCTGGTGAGCAGAGATTGCAAGTTCATGGAGAACTTACCGTACAAGGAGAGGACGGTGGAGAACCAAGCGAAGATTGGTGTGCGGCTTGGAGAGCTGAAGAGTACCGGCTTGGAGCATGTGGAGCTGCCCTTGGAGCTGAGTAGCAGCAGCACTATCACAAGGCAATCTCCTCAAATGAATGGGGGAGAAGAGGAGGAGGAGGTGCAGCAAGTTGATGAGCGCGCACCGTCACTTCCGCCTCGTGCTACAAGTGCTCGTGGGAACCGACCAGATTTACCGCAACGCCATGAGAGCATCCAAGTCCCTGCAGCAGAGGAGGAAGGAAGGGGGAGAAGGAAGACTCAGCCCCCCAAAAGGTTGAGCTATGAACGGCTTGGAGGATCAGCCAACTCAACCTTGACCGGTTCGGCCCTCATGCTAGGCGATGATGCGGAAGATGAGAGCGAGGAGTGCACTTTTGCTTTCTTCTCTCCGGTGGAGATCCCAGGGGAGCCTACAAATCCCAAGGAGGCTTGGGAGGGCCCCAATGGGAAGGAGTGGAAGAAGGCCTCAGATGAACAAATGGGGAGCATCATCGAGAACGACACATTTGACTTGGTGAACCTACCTCTGGGGCGGAAGGCGATCTCTTCCATGTGGATCTACAAGCGCACGACCGACGCCGACGGCAACATCGAGCGCTACAAGAGCAGACTTGTAGCCAAGGGATACCAGCAACAGGAGAAGAAGGACTACAATGAAGTATATGCCCCTGTGATTAAGGGTACAAATGGGTGGCAGCCATCAAAGGATGGGTGGTGAAGCAAATGGATATTGTAACGGCCTTCCTCAACGGCGTTTTGGAGGAAGAGACCTACATGGAGCAGCCAGAGGGGTACAAGGATGGGAGTGGCAGAGTGTGGAAGCTGAAGAAAGCACTCTATGGCCTCAAGCAAGCCCCTAGGCAATGGTACATCAAGCTGCGGGAAGTCTTGGAGGCGATCGGCTTCACTCCCTCAACGGCCGATGAATCGTTGTTCATGCTTGGCGAGGGGGAGCAGAGGAGCTTCATGGTGTTTTATGTGGATGACATCCTCATATTCTCACCCTCCTCTGACCTTGTGAAGGAGGTGATGCTGAAGCTTCAAGACAAGTTCAAGTGCAAGACCCTTGGTGACATCAACTACTACCTTGGGCTTCACATTGAGCGAGATGTGGAGAAGCGGTGGATGCGAGTGCATCAAAAGAAGTACTTGGAGGCCTTGGCTGCAAACTTTGGGAAGAGTGAAGGTCATGTGGCTACTTCTCTTCCCTCAGGGTTCAAGTGTGTGAAAGGACCAGTGGAGGAAAGTATTGGTGAAGAGGAGAGGCGCCATTTTCACTCCTTGGTGGGCAGCCTCATGTATGCGGCTGTTCACACAAGGCCGGATGCAGCCTTTGCTACCGGGCAGCTGGCTAGGCTTGTCCAATGCCATAATGAAGAACAGGTAGCAGCCAGAAAGAGGGTGACCAAGTACCTTGGCCAAACAGCAACTGTTGGACTGCAATACTCCGCGGCGGCACAAATGCGTCAAAAGGGGGCGGATGGAGTCGAACCCGGGAGGCTCTTTCTCACCGCCTTCTCTGATGCATCTTGGGCATCAGAACCAGAGGACATGACAAGTGTGGGAGGCTTCATCTGCTGTGTTGGTGGAGGGCCAACAGCTTGGGAGAGCAAGAAGCAAGTGGACCAAGCATTGAGCTCGGTGGAGTCCGAGTATATAGCACTCTTCCGTGCCATAAGAGAGGTTGTGTGGCAGCGGCGTTTGCTAGCTGAATTGGGGGAGGAGCAGCAAGGACCTACCCCACTCTACTGTGATAGCCAGGTTGCTATTGCATTGGCAAAGAAACCCATTCTTCATGGCCTTACCAAGCACATGAAGGTGGAGTGGCATTGGGTGAGGAGCATGGTAACCGCGGGTGAAGTGGAGTTGCACTACGTGAAGACGACGGCGCAGCCTGCTGATATGATGACCAAGAGGCTGGTTGAGCAGCAGCATTGGAAGTGTTGCAAGCTTGCTGGGATGGCTCTGAACTAAGGGGAGCAGATTCTAAGGCCAACAATCCGAGGGGGAGTTTGTTGGTGCAACCCTATGGCTTGCACTCGGCTTGTCG